AAGTAATACCGCCAATCAATTGGGAGAAGGGGGAGACTTGGATTCAATTTACTAGCAATGCCTGTGTCAACAGGTATTTTACAACCTATATCCTGGCGCCAAAGAGCCCTGAGATCCTCTTAATGTGGAGGAATGTTTATGATAGCCATGTGGGTTGTTTCACTTTAAAGGATAACGGTGGGAATGCATGTTTGTTCGGGTTCTCAGGGAAACTAGTAAGGAAAACATCTTCACACTTGTGTATTGGCTAACATCTGCAGTCTGATTTAAAGGGAGGGGTCTCTACTGCTTTAATCCTACTTGTCTTGCCTAAGGGTATTCAGCTCTTGCTTTAACAGGGTTGCTACCACTCTGCTTAATAAAAAGATCCTTTTAAACTATCAAGTTTCAAGAGTCTTTACTTTCTTAAGTTGGAAGGAGAGGCAATCATTACAGATGGAGAAGAGGCTGAAGAAGCCAAGCCAAAGGGGGGGGGGTCTAATAAAGAACAAAATTCAGAACTTTGGGGGGGATGAGAAAGAGGCAAAAGCTCCCAGAATATTAGAGGGAGGGGGGTTTAAGCCCGTTCCCCAGAAAATCCTGCAATGAAGAGGGTCTCCCCAGCTGGGGGCTCTGGAGGGGCCACAAGGGACCCCCATTTTCCTCAGAGTCACGGAGGGTCCCCTCCAGGGTGTGGCTGGCTGTCTTTTCCCTCAGGGCAACCCCGGATCCCACTCGGAAGACCCAGCCCTACATGGCTTCTCCCCACAGGAGCCTCTCCTGGAAAGTCACGGAGCCCAAGCAAAGCTGGAGAATCCCCAGGGGCTGCGCCCTGCCCCCAATATTGAACCCTGGGACCCATAAACCAGGAATGCCCCAGATCCCCTCCTCCTTCCTGCCCCTCCTGGGCTTTCTCCGTGGGTCTGGGCTTTGCTTTCCCCTGAGTGCCCCATGCATGGAAAGAGGTGGCTGAGCAACATGGGATATGGTCTCATCTGTTTCCAGGACTCAGAAGATGGAACCTGGAGGGAGAAGTGCAGATCTGCTTCCCTTTCCCACCATGAGGCTCCCCAGCTTCCTCCTCCCAAGAGGGGATCCCCACTCAGCCGGGTAGAGTCCTGTCTGGCATCCCTACATGAGCCCCCTTGCCTGGCCTGTGCATGGGAAAGGGTGGCAGGGGAACATGGGATATGGGATTCTGCATTCCCAGGTCTCTGAAGATGGAAGTTGGATTTTGAAGATCAGCTTTCCATCTGCAACACGAGGGTCCTGAGCTCCCCTTCCCTCCCTCCGTCCCCTCCCCACATGGGGTGAGAGGCAGCCTTGATTTCTCCATCTCTTTTCACTTGGTTTTTTTCTAACGTCCTCCCCCCTCCCTCCCTCTCTCTCTCTCTCTGATTTTTTTTAACTCTGCAAAGTTCAAAAAACTAGTTTTTCACTAAAGTTGATTTTGTTCTAGGAGCCTGGCTGCACTATTGCATCAGCCCTTTTCTGTGATGCCCTTGAGCATTAGCTTTCAAAATAAAGTAAATTTTGGTTCCAACTCAGCTGGCAGCTATTTCAGATCTGTGACATGCTCTGGCATTAACTGGCCCCCAGAGTTTTGTCTTTCATCACTATTCAAACAAATTCAGATTTATTTGTTATTTCAGCCACAGGTGCCATGTATTCCCTGCATGGAGCTCCCAAAATTCTCAATTCTAGATAATGGATTTAATTCCATCTCTTCTCCTGTTGTTTTGAATCACTTGAGGATTATTTCCCTTTCATTTCCCTCCAGAGAATTTCCCAACCATCTTTGACTGCAAGAACTACCTGAATTGTCCAGAGATCCCTCCTGAGAGGGAGAACTGTGATAAAAGTTTCAGCTCTGCTGTTTGGCCGAATCCTCCAGGGGAGATTTTGGGCAGAGAAATATGGAGTTTTGGGACAGGCAGAGTCTGTGCTCTTGAATGTACGTCTCTCTCCTTTCCAGGTGAAGCTGAGTGTTTCTCTATATTGAGAAAAAGCAACTGGTTCATATTCCACCTTGTGAGAGTTTTTTGATTCTTCTAATTCTTCTTTAGAAACAGGAAAAGGATTCATTGATTCACCCCATGAATTATGGACCTCCTGCTTCTGAATCTGATGCTGCTTTTGTCCTATCCAGTCTCTGGGAAGCTGAGAATGAAATGCCCGCTGAATTTGGAGAACCAGGATGGAAAACAACCACAGAGCTTTTACAGACCAGGAGACCATCTAATCAGTATAGTCACCAATGGAAGGAAAAGATTACATACAAAGTTGCTTTTCAACGTGGCTCCTTCTCTTCAGCTTGTTTTCCATGATATGTAAGTCCTTCAGGGTGATGGAGTTGCAGTCCCTCCATTCTAACACTCTCCTTCTTTTCAGTTTTTTATTTTTCATTTATTCCTATATTGGGGAATATGTCTAATTTCCTGAATGATTTTGATTTCCATGGCTTCTCTCTTTGGTCTGATTTTGTGAAAGAGACTCAAAAAGGGGTCTGAAAAAAAGCTGAAAGGGCTGCAGATTATTTTCCTCCCTCAATTCAATCCTTAATTTATCACTTGAATAAATTTTTTTATTTAAAGTAGCAGTGGAATCAGTTGTAGTTGCCATACTTCAGCCCATTTCCATATTGTGTAACTGATGTTTGCTTTTGGATCAATGTTGGTTTAAGGCTCAATAGGCTTCTGGAAGATTATATATATTATATAAAACAAAAGTATTTGTTTTGGCTGTTGAATATAATAACTTTTTTTTTCAATAGGACTTCTTACGATTTTTCTTATTGCTTACGATACATTTTCAACATTCAACTGGCCAACAAAAATTCCCATCTCTTGCACAATCTCACACTTGGCTACAACATCCATAACAACTATGTGAGCACTTTCCACACTTCAGATGCCTTGCTGGACATGCTCTCCACTGGAGAAGCCAATGTCCCCAACTACAGCTGTGGAAGGAAGGAGAACCTCCTGGCTCTTCTTGATGGAGCTGAAAGGGCCATCTCCATCCAGATGTCAACATTAGGAGGCACCTACAAAGTCCCACAGGTTTGTGTGTGTTTTTCTCCTTCTGGTAAAGTGAGGAATGGGTGGTGGTGGATGAGCAATAGATGCAATCATGTCTTCTCCATGGAATCCAAGAGCTGCTTTTCTCCATATTAGCAAAAACCTCAATATTTTACCCCATTATGTTCATGTTGAGATTAATCATAAAAGGCCTGAAATGCAAGCAATACATTCCCTGGAGAAGACATTCTACCAACTATTTAACTGATCAAAAAAGGTTCCATTTTAGGCCCAGTACTCTTCAACATCTTCATCAATGATTTGGATGAGGGAAGAAATCATCAAATTTGAAGACAACACTAAAGTGTAATGGCTTAATGGGTGTTTTAAATTACTTGAACTATTTTAATTTAAATTTTAAATTGGTTTTATCGGGGTTTTAACGCTGGCCAAGTTTATATAATTCTCTTAATTTGGTTTTAAAGGTGTTGATTTGTTTTTGTATTGTTTTAACATGGCTGTACACGGCCCTGAGTCCTTCGGGAGAAGGGCGGTATAGAAATCTAAACAATAAATAAATAAATAAATAAATAAATAAATAAATAAATAAATAAATAAATAAATAAAGTGGCAGAAATAGCCAACAACCCAGATGGATGAAGATCCAGATGGATCTAGATATACTTGAACCCTGGGCCTATCTAACAAAATGAAATTTAATGTAGAGAAAAGTAAGGTTTTATACTTAGGCTAGAAAAACCAAATGTCCAGGTACAGATGAGGTGAAACCTGGCTCAATAAGTGTAACTGTGAGAGGGATCTTGGAGTCCGAGTGGACAATCACTTAAATATGAGCCAGCAGCAGCTATAAAAGTCAATTCAGTCCTAGGTTGCATTAACAGAGGGATAAAATCAAGATCACATGAAGTATTGGTACCGCTTTATAATGCCTTGGCAAGACCACACTTGGAATAGTGCATCCACTTTTTGTCACCATATTATAAAAAAGATGTAGAGACTCTGGAAAGAGTGCAGAAAAGATGATTAAGGGCCTGGAAACTAAAACATATGAGGAACAGTTGGATTGACTTGGATTGTTTTGTCTTAATAATTATCTGATAATTTATAAAGCAAGTTCAAAAGTTATGGTCTTTGTGAAATGACATCACAGCCATAGATGGTCAGCCATTAGAGCAAGTAACACCTTTCCTTACCTGGGGTTGTTTTCTCTGAGCCTGAATCTTGGCTCCCTCATCATCCAAGGAGCTCAGTTAGAGAAAGGGCAGGAGTGAAAGTGGTGCTTAAAGGAAAACCTCATAGCTCTCCAGCTTCCTCAGCCCCAATTATTAAAGTATCTGAGGCCCAGTTTCCCCCCATGTTCTTACATCAATCTGATGTTTGGGACTCCAGAGAGAAACCACCAGCAGAACCAACCCAATCTCAGCCTCTGAGGAGGATCTTGGGGTGGGTAAAAGGACTCCAGCTGCTGCCCTCAGAGCTGATTTGGGAATTTACACAATATCTGCTTTGCCTAAATTCAGAAAATATGGGCATTGGCATAAAATTTAATCTATGGAAACTGACAGACTCTGAAAATTGTGGCTGTTGGAACAGACAAAACTTCAGTTAAAGACCATACTTGGATTACTCAACTGACAAATCTTATTAGGCTTTGACGTCTGCCTGTTTATTGTATAACTGGAGAAAGAAGTTAAAAAAATTCCTTCAATACAGCATATAAGGAAAATTTGTATAAAATGTATAAGATGTTTTACAGGTGGTACTTATCTCCATCGAGAATAGCCAGAATGTTCCAGAACAAATCGGAGAAATGTTGGAAATGTCATCAGACCACAGGATCGTATTACCACATGTGGTGGTCCTGCGTACAAGCAAGGAGATATTGGACTAAGATACACACGTGGTCGGAAAAAATGACTATGAGACATATTGACTTAAACCTGAGATATTTTTATTAGGGATTCTTCCCAAAATATACAACAAAGAATTGCAGTATTTAATCGTGAATCTGTTAACAGCAGCTAGAATTGTATTTGCAAAACATTGGAAAGAAGAAACGATACCTAAAGATGAAGAAATTATTAGGAAAATGTTAGTCTGTGCCGAAATGAGTAAATTGACATTTGAAATAAGAGAACAGGAGGAAAAACAATATTATTTGATATGGGATTTATTTTACCAATGGGTAGATAATAAAAAATGGTGATAAGCTAGCAAATGTTGTATTTTTTAAGTGATAAATGTAAGTGGATTATTTCTTATAAGAATACATTTTGAATAGCTAGGGATACTTAGAAGAGTGGCTAGGGCACAAAGGATATTAACCGACTGATGTACTGTCTGTATTTGTTTGAAAGAATGATGCTTGAATGTTTTATTTTTGTTTTTGTTTTTTTTTTGTTCTAAAATAAAAATCATTTGGAAAAAAAAAATTCCTCCAAAAAGAATCTGGGATATAGAAGCAAAAAAAGATGCAGCAATCCTCAAAAATTATAATAGGCCCTTTATTGGAATAGAATACTCCAGTTGGCATTTGCACGTGTTAATCTAATTGTGATCAATTGTAGGGGTGATGCAGTAATATGATTTACATTTTTATTGTTTTTTAATTTGATTATTATTTTCCATTATTATGATACAATCTTGCTAATATTCTGTCTTTAATATTTTAAAAAATGTCTGATTAACGAACTATTCTAATACATTCAGGAGAACCAGGTTGGATTTATTAAAATCTAATATTTTGGACTTGATCGGACCCCAAATATCACAGAATTCTTCATTGCTTTTTCAGATCAGTCTTAAAACTGCTTCAGAGGCTATGAGTAATAAAAGGAAATTCCCCTTTTTCCACCGGATGAATCCCAAAGAAGGGATCCAGTACCCAGCAATTGTCCACCTGCTCCTCCATTTCAGATGGACCCTGATTGGCCTCTTTGCTTCAGACACAGAGAATGGAGAGAATTTCATGAAGATTTTTCTTCCTATGCTTGTCAGGAGTGGAATTTGTGTGGTTATATCACAACTGTTCTCAACAACTGGATACACAACAGCCCTCAGGGATTCCCTCTCTAAGTGGAGACAAGTCAACGTCTTTGTTCACTTCATGGAATATGTTTTCTTTTGGAGCAGAATCCTTCCTTTCCATTTAACATTTATGTGTCTGCCAGGACCCATTGAAGGGAAAGTCTGGATCCTCACAAATTTTCTATATTTTCCAAAGAACAAGCACAGACTTCTCAAATACATCCATAGTATTTCGAACTTTGGTTATCCGTTAAAAGAAAGGCCAACGGATGATGCCTTTGAACCCAATTTCTTTGTGGAAGAAAAGTTTCAAAATTATTATTTTTTCTGTTCTCTTTCAAAGAATGTCTTTTCTGTCAAAGGCCGCAGAAGATGCACCCAGAAAGCCCCACTGGAAACCCAGGAGAAAAGGAACAGAAGATGGATCCCAAATAACGACAATAATTACAGTGTGATGAAGACTCTGGCCCAAGCCTTGAATGCCGCTTATTCCTCTAGATCGAGGAGGAGGAGAAGGAAGGAGGGAGAAAAGAGGTTGGGGTCTCCAAGTCTGCAGCCGTGGCAGGTATGGGGGTCCTGATATGGATCCATTGATCTTAGATCCTTTGGAGGAGGAATCCAGAGGAGAAAGAGGGGAACCATCTCAACAGATCTGGCCAATTCAATTACTCTGGGAATGATGGTTCCAAAGAGTAGATACCATGGCATTTTAATATTACACACTGCTCATTTGAAAATGCTGTATTCTTTTATATATGAATTCCTGTATTTGTGGGTTTGTGATGAGCATGGTGGAATTTCCCCTTTGTTCCGTCCCCACTGCAGGTGGGTCTGTGTGCAGCTCAACGGGCAGCTAAACCCCCCTCTTCTCCTCCAGTGAAAGGGAGCCTGGGGTGGATCTGGGTGTTTCTTTTTTCTTTTTAGAAATTTTATTAAGTTTATAAACATATATACATTAACATTTACATTAACATCGGATGTGCAGTGGTTATAACTATGTACAAAAATACATTTCTGGTGTCATTTTAATTACTTTTTACTTTTATTTAAGTCACCTTTTTTTCTTCCTTTCATTTTATCATTCATCCATTCATACCACCTTCCCCACACAGTATAATATTCTGAATTCTCATCATCGTTTATTTCATAGGTTAATTTGGTCACCTCTGCGCACTCCAGTATTTTCCTAATTATAAGCTCTTCTGGCGGTTGGGTTTTCTTTTTCCAATATTGTGCGTAGGCCAGTCTGGCAGCTGTAATTATGTGTATTATTAAGTGGATCTTATCTTTTCCATATGGCTTCTTTACTATTCCCAGGAGAAATATTTCCGGGGTCAATTTAATATCTTCCCTGATTATTTCTTGTAGCCATCCCCTGATCTTACTCCAGTATCCTTTTGCTTCAGGGCATGTCCACCACATGTGAAAGAAGGTGCCTTGACCATAGCCACATTTCCAACAATTGGGATGCATATTGGGATACATCTTTGCTAACCTAGCCGGGGCTAAATACCACCTGTGGAGCATCTTATTTTCTTTATATGTCGCAGCTCTAGTCAATTTGAGGTTCTTATTCCATGCCCCTTCCCTTCCCTTTCATTAAAATTTATATTATGTCCAATATTTATCTCCCATGCACTCATTTGATTTTTTATTGTATCCTCAGCCCTATCTTCATCTAATAAATAATTATATAATTTAGCCAGGATCTTTTTATCTGTTCCCATCAGAACTTTATCCAACCCGTTATATCTTAGTTCAACTCCACACTGTTCTTTATCTTTCTGATACCTGGATTTTATTTGGAGATAGGTCCACCAGTCCAAATTTATTCCTTGCTCTCTCAAGGCCTCATTTGGTTTAAGGTTTCCTCCTTCGTCTAAGATGTCTTTATACCTACAGATTTTCTCCATTCCCCATCTATTGGGGTGAATCAGAGCCTCCATCGTAGAGAGCCATCCTGGGACTTTTTTATAATATCTTTGCCTGATTCCAGTCCATGTTTGTATCAATGAGTCTCTAATTTTATGTCTATGGAAATATGTTTTCTTATTCTTATCTGTGTCCCACAGGTATGTGTGCCACCCTTTTTGTAGATTGTGACCTTCTAGGGTTAAAATCCTCTTATTTTCCAGGGTGGCCCAATCCCTTAGCCAAACTAGCTTAGCTGCCCTGTAGTATGTTTCCCAATTGGGAAGTCCAAATCCTCCTATATCTCTTTTGCCCCTTAAAATTTTAAGAGAAAACCTCGACTTTTTCCCCTCCCATACAAATTCCCTAATAATTTTATTCAGTTCTGAGAAAAATTTTCTATCTAAATTCACCGGAATATTTTGATATAAGAATAGCACTTTGGGGAGGATGTTCATCTTAATCGTAGCTATTTTGCCCAGGAGTGACAATTTTATTTTCTTCCATCTGTCCAGGTCTTGTTTCATTTTCCTAATTAGAGGGGTATAATTGTCATCTTTTAGGGACGAACACCTTGCAGTAATCCAAATTCCTAGATATTTGATTTTTTTTACCACCTCTAGTCCCAATAGTTCCTCTATCTCTTTCCTCTGTACTTCGGTTACATTCTTAGTCAATATTTTGGTTTTAATTTTGTTCAATTTGAAGCCTGCCACCTCTCCATATTTGCCCAATTCCTCTAACACTTTTTGTCCCGATTCTATAGGGTCTTCTAGGATTAAGGCTACATCATCTGCAAATGCTTGCATTTTATAAACCTCCTTTCTAATCTTTAAGCCTTTTATTTCCTCATTGTTTCTAATTTTCCGTAGCAGGACTTCTAGAGCCAAAATAAATAGTAATGGTGACAGGGGACATCCTTGCCTCACGCCCTTTCTAATCTGAAATGTTTTTGTTCTGTCTCCGTTTACTAAGATACTCGCCTTCTGATTATCGTAAATAGATTTTATCATATTTTCAAAATTTGTTCCAAATCTCATAACCTCCATTTGTTTTTTCATAAATTTCCAATTTAAATTGTTGAATGCCTTTTGGGCATCGACAAACACCAAGGCCATCTGTTTTTCGGGGTGTTCTTCATAATACTCCAGAATATCCAGCACGGTTCTCAAATTATCTCTAATTTGCCTCTCTGGGAGGAATCCATTTTGATCTTTATGTATCCAAATGTTAAGTATTTTTTAAATTCTTTCCGCCATTATGCTCATAAATAATTTATAGTCAGTATTTAGGAGAGAAATTGGTCTATAGTTCTGGATTTGTTTTAAGTCGGCACCTTCTTTTGGCACTAGTGTGACATGTGCTTCCTTCCACGATTCTGGAATTTTAGAGCTCATCAATACATCATTGAAAATTTCCACTAGTTTTGGTTGAAATATTTCTTCGAATTTTTTGTATATTTCCCCTGGGAATCCATCTGGGCCTGGTGATTTGTTATTTTTGAGTTTAGAGAGAACTGTTTTTAGTTCTTCAGCTGTTATCTTTCTGTTAAGCATTTCTCTCTCGTCTTTTGTTATTTGCGGAAGCTCTGCATTTGCTAAATATTGCTCTATTTTTCCTTCTGTAACCTCCTCTTCTTTATATAGAGTCTCATAAAACTCCCTGGCTCTTTCTAATTTATCTTCTTCTTTGTTCAATAGTTTGCCTTTAGAATCTTCTAATAGATGAATTGTCCCCTTTTCATTTTCCTTTTTTAATTTGTAGGCTAGCCACCTGCTCGACTTGTTGGCATTCTCAAAATAGTATTGTCTTGCTCTTTTTATTTTTTGCTCTAGCTCATCTTGATCCATGATATTCAATTTGTGTCTCCTCATCAGCCAGCTTTCTTTAGCTGTTTCGTCTCCCGGGTTATCTTGGAGTTTTCTTTCCGCTTCTCCTAAATGGTTTAAAAAGTCTTTCAGGGTCTCTCTTTTATCCTTATTTTTGTATGCACTGTAGGAAATTACCACTCCTCTTAAGTAGGCCTTCATTGCGTCCCAAACTATTGCACGGGGTGTTCCTTGATTTTCATTTGCCTTGAAAAAAAGCTTTTTAAGTTTTTTTACGCATTCTTTATCACTCAATAATTTGGCATTGAGCCTCCATCTCTGTTGTTTCTTTCTCTTTACACTCTTCCACCTTATTTCTAAGGGGTTATGGTCTGCCCAGGCATTCGGGTTGATTTCTGCCATTCCTATTTCTAATCCCAGCTTCCTGCTGACCCAAGCCATGTCTATTCTAGACCACGACTTTTGTGGGTTTGAATAAAAAGTATATTGTCTGTCCTTTGGATGTAAGGTTCACCATATATCGATCAAATTTAGTTCATCTGCTAAATCAAAAAAAGCTCTCGGTAAATTTTATTTTTCTTTATTTCATTACTTTTATAATCTTTATCCAAATCTACAATACCATTAAAATCGCCTATTATGCAAATTTCATTATATTCCATTTTTCCTAATTGCTCATGGAGTTTCTTGAAATATTCTCCCTGCTTTTTATTTGGTACATATATGCCCACTAATAATATTTTGGAATTCCCTCTCCTAATCTCAATCATAAGAGTTCTTCCCTTTGTATCATTGAACTTTAATTCTGCTTCGATTCCATTCTTTACATAAATTACCACTCCCCTCTTCTTCTTTTCTGCTAGGGAAGTAAAAGTTTGACCAATTTTTTTGTATTCTAAACATTTACCCTCTTCCTTTTTTATGTGGACCTCCTGAAGACAGATTATATCTATGTTTTGTTTGACTAATTTTGTTAATGTTAATTTCCTCTTTTTGTAGTCGTTTAATCCGTTAATATTTAGTGATATTAGTTTCAGATCGTTCATTCCTGTTTTCCTCGTCTAGTTTTTAGACCCTTACTGGTCTTGCTCTTTTCCCTTTGGCTTCTTCTTCTGCTTCTGTCCTCTTCTCCTCCGCAATTCCTTCTTTAATATTTTGGTGGTGTGAGGCTTCCTCTTCTACTGCTATTGTCTCTACTTCTTCTTTACTGCTCTGTTCTTCCTCTGCTCCTCTCAGCTGATCGAGGAAGTCTTGTGCTGTGCTCAAAGTGTCGATTTTTATTTTCCTCCCTTGCCAAGTGATTAACATCCCTTCTGGCAGGAGCCACCTGAATAATATATTTCTTTTATTCAATTATACAGCTAGGAATTTATAGTCTTTCCTCACCTCCCTTACTCTTCTTGGTACCTGTTTTAGGATTATCACTTCTTTCCCTCTATATGTTATCGGTTCTTCCCTCGCCATGTTATATAAAATGTCTTTCACCTTTGTTCTTGCAAACCGAACATGCACTTCCCTAGGGAGCCTGTTCCTCCTTGCATAATTTGTTTGAACTCTATATACGTCATCCACTTCTCTAATTATCTCTTGTTTATCTTGCTGAAGTACTTCTGCAATCAGCTCTGCCATCTTCTCTCCCAGATCCTCTTCTTTGTCTTCGGTGATGTTTTGGAAACGCAAGTAGAAAGCCACCTGGTCCATCTCCAATTGGATTATTGAATCCTCTAGCTCTCTATTTTGCATTGTCAGAGTTTGGTCTATGGTGTCTAGTTTCTTCTCGGTTTGTTCTACTCTTGTTTCCACTTTCTGAATTCTTTGCTCATTA